ATATACATTGTGAAATAATAACTACAATCAAGCTAATACACACATCCATTGCCTCACATAGTTACCATTTGTGATGTGTGTGGTAAGAACATTTAAGATCTGTTCTCTTGGCAAATTTGAAGTATACAATACAGGATTATTAACTACAGTTGCCATGCTGTACTTAGAGCTCAGAACTTATCCACCCTGCGTAAATGGAACTTTGTACCCTTTGACCATCACCCCATTTCCCCATCTCGGGCCCCTGGCAACCACCATTCTACTCGCTACTCTAGGAGTTTGACTTTTTTAGAATTCACATATGAATGAGATTATGAGGTATATGTCTTTCTATGCTCGGCTTATTTCACTTAGTATAATGTCCTCCAGGTTCATCTGTGTTGTCACAAATGGCAACATGGATTTTTTTAAGGCTAAATAGTGTTATTATATAACACATTTTCTTGATTTATTCATGTATTGATGGACACTTAAGTTGAATCCATGTCTTAGCTATTGTGATTGATGCTGCAATGAACGTGAAAGTGCAAATAACTCTTTGATACACTGATTTCATTTCCTCTGGCTACGTACTCAGCGGTGGGATTGCTGGATTACATGGCAATTCTATTTTTAATTTTTTGAGGAATCTCCATGCTTTTTTACATAATAGCTATACCAATTTACATTCCAACCAACAGTCCTTTTCTTCATATTCTTGCTGACATTTGTTATCTTTTGTCTTTTTGATAATAGCCTTTCTAACAGATATGAAGTGATATCTCGTTGTGGTTTTGATGTGCATTTCCCTAGTGATTAATGATGTTGAGCATTTTTTCATATACATCTTGGACATTTGTATGTCTTCTTTGAAGAAATGTCTATTTGAGTCTTTTCCCCATTATTTATTTATTTTCTTGCTATTGAGTTGTTTTGAGTTTCCACATATTTTGTGTAGTAACCCCTTATCAGATGTATGGCTTGCAAATATTTTCTCCTATTCTCTAGGTTGTCTCTTCATTCTGTTGATTGTTTCCTTTGCTGTGCAGAAGCTTTTTACTTTGATGCCATCCCATTTGTCTGTTTTTGATTTTGTTACCTGTGCTTTGGTGTCATATCCAAAAAATTATTGCTCAGACCAATGTCAAGAAGCTTTTTCCCTTTATTTTCTTCTAGAAGTTTTACAGTTTCAAGTCATATATTTAAATATTTAGTCTATTTTGAATTGATTTTTGTATATGGTCCAAGATAAGGATGCATTTTCAATCTTTTGCGTGTAGATATCCAGTTTTTCCAACGTCATTTAATGAAGAAATTATTCTTTCCCCACTATGTGTTCTTGGCACCTTTATTGAAGATCAGTTGATTGTAAATATGTGGATTTATTTTTGGGATCTCTATTCTTATCCATTAGTCTAAAGGTTTGTTTTTATGCCAAAATTGTAATGTGTGATTGTTATAGCTTTGTAGTATAATCATGCATTGCTTAATGACGGGGATACACTCTGAAAAATGCATAGTTAAGCAATTTTGTCCTGTGAATATCGTAGTTACTTACACAAACCTAAATGTTATAGACTACTACACAGTTAGGCTATATGGTATAGCCTATTGCTCCTAGGCTACAAACTTCTACAGCATATTCCTACACTGAATACTGGAGGCAATTATAACACAATAGGAACTATTTGTCTATCTAAACATAGAAAAGATACAGTAAAAAATACAGTATAAATGTTAAAAAAAAAAGGGTACACCTGTATAGGACACTTACCATGAATGGAGCTTGCAGGACTGGAAGTTGCTCTGGGTGAGGTGGTGAGTGAATATGAAGGCCTGGGGTGTTACTGTACACTACTGTGGACTTTATAAGCACTATCCGCTTAGGCTACACTAAATTTATTTTTAATACTTTCTTCTTCAATAATAAATTAACCTTAGCTTACCATAACTTTTTTACTTTATAAACTTTTAATTTTGTTTTACTTTTTTGATATTTTGTAACAACATTTAGCTTTAAACACAAACACATTATATAGCTGTACAAAAATATTTTTTCTTGGCCAGGCATGGGCGCGGTGGCTCACGGCTGTAATCCTAGCACTCTGGGAGG